AACATCCTACATTATTTTTACAGTCTTTATTTTACAGTTAAAATATATGTTTATCAAATAAAGTCTAATGTTACAACTAATCGGGGATCCCTTTAAAGAAGCTGTAAGAAACAGCAGCCCTGATGTTTGCTTTATGATATACCCAAAGATCCAGTCTGTCAAGGTTTACCCCAACTTTTACCATAATGGCAATATGAAATACTCAAACTGTAATTCCAATCTGAACCAAACCTCATTCAAAAACCACAGCCTCGACATAACCTGGAAACCTACAATCAAGCTCGGTTGACCGACGTGTTTGCAGAAGCGCAGCCAAACAAGATAAACAGACCTTCAAAAGCTTGTTTCAGTGGGAGGTGTACTACCAACCTACAAAGGTTAATGGAACATATAATCAGATTTTCAACATGAAAAGCCTAAATGGTAGATCGAACACATTTCCCTTGTTGGAACACGCGCTCGTCCCTTTTTTTGCTGATCTGAAAGGAAACTGAACCATGAAGCAGAACGAAGTGATTCTTAGTGTTAAAATTACCTTTGTATGAGCCTCCCAGATGTGTTACGACAGTGCTGCGTTGGAGAAATTTAATCTTGTCTTCCAGCGAGTGAATCTAGTGCAGAGAAACATGCAAAGCACAGACATTACTCCTGAGGTAATTCTATGCATTTTGCCCAACGAGCATTTTGTTGGTCATTTTTAGTGGGTGTTTGTGAGGAGAGAAATCTGTGGGAGGTGTTGCTCTGATTGTTTATAGAGTCAAACCAAATGTAAACAGATGTGCGGCGCAGTGAAGTCGACACAGTGGGAGAGCATCGACGGGAGGCRGCAGACCTCTGGGAAAGCTTTAAGGATGTGCTTTTATTTTTTTTAAAGTTATCCCGCCAAAACGTACACACAAACAGTGCGACACTCACTCGTTCAACAAAGCCCTGCTCCTTCAGCCGAGCCTCGCTCAGCAGAGTGGTCTTCTCGGCGAGCTGAGCCTGCCGTCACAAGAGGAACAGGGTCAAACCAGCAGGTTTTTAGATGAATCGTGAAATTWRACWTGAATAAAAATGTAGAAATGTACCTGTAGGTCATCAGGGGTCATCTGTGTACATGAAGTAAAAAACATATATATGTTAGAGCTTATATGTGCAGTAAGTACTCTAAAAGGCTAACATTTCTTAATGGAATGCAAATCATGATTACTAGGACCGCCCTCTTCCACCTGCATAATATCACTAAAACATCTCGGCTAAAGATGATGCAGAAAAACTGATTCATGTGTTTATCACGTCTAGACTGGATTACTGTAATTCCTTATTATCTGGGTCCAAAAACTCTAAAAAAAAAAAAAAATCTTCAGTTGATCCAAAATGTTGCTGCTAGAGTTTTAATGGGAGTTGGAAGGAGAGATCATATTTCTCCAGTTTTAACTTCTCTCCACTGGCTCCCTGTCAAATTCAGAATATAATTAAAATATTACTCTTAACATACAAAGCTCCATCATATATTAAACATTTTATTGTTCCATGTTTTCCTAACAGAGCACTTCGCTCTCAGACTGCAGGTTTACTTGTGGTTCCTCGAGTTTCTAAAAGTAGAATGGGAGGCAGAGCTTTCAGTTATCAAGCTCCTCTCTTGTGGAACCAAATTTCAGTTTCTCTCCGTGAGGCTGACACTCTGCAAATTCTGGCTTTAAAAGTAGACAGTTATGTTTTATTTCCTCTATATGTTTGCTGTAATTATGTTTAACAATAACATGTTTTCTTTGTCTTTTTTCCAGAGGAAAATACACCTGGACCAGTCAGTTGTGTTTGTCTCTTGGGYAACCCAAAACCCAGCTGGTGGAGGCAGAAGGCTTCCTGTCCTGAGCCTGGTTCTGGTTCTGRTGGAGGTTTCTTCCTGTTAAAAAATAGTTTTTCCTCTCCACTGTCACCATGTGTTGCTCAGGATGCAAGACTGTGACAAAGTGATTCTTAGATGGATMGTTTTGTGTACAGTGGCCTGAGACAGTTCTGACTTGGTGCTATATAAATAAACTGAGTTAAACTGAATGATTAGCAATGGCAGTAATCTAAAAGTGCACGGACTCCAAATATCCACTGATTAATTTCAGCACATATCTATACATCTATCYGTTCTTGGGTTTTTAATAAATCTAAAGCCAAAGAGACACATTGTGMTCTTCGTTACTGGATGAGAAAATGTGCTGCAAATTGTGGGGTTTAAGGAAAAAAAAGGCACAAAATGTGTTAACATTTCATAAAGTAAAGATTAAGAGCCACAGAAATAGGTCGGCAGCTCTGAGAGGAACTATTATAACAGAAAGGACAATAACAGAAAATCCAGAGGATCGTCTGTTCATCACTTTATTCTAACAGCTTTGTATCTCTAAGCACTGTTGYTCTGCTTCCTGTGTGGACAGACACTCTTATCCACTGTCCATGTGAAAAATGGTTTTGTGAGGCCCGCAGTAAGGAAAGGCGTAATGCCTTACAATCCCCCATAAAGTTATTACCTCACCTGGGAAAAATGCAGTGAGAAGAGCAGTATAATCCTGTGGGTTTGTGTGCATATAAACGTGTAAAAAGGTGGAAACACCGCTGTGTGGTTCCAACGGCACCTGGAGACATCTCCCCCAAAGTGCTAACTGGCTTCTTTCCAGCACATATAATTCATGTGAATACTCCTGTAGTGCATATATTTTAGGCTGGAATCACCTCCTGTGATGATAATTGAGAACAGGGATGGGGGCGGGCTGCTGCCTCGCAGAGAGCATTCCTGAGTGATTCAAATGAGCCTCGCAGCATCCGGCKATCTTTGGATTGCCGCCACAGGACTGCAGCGGGACGCCAATCAAAGCAAAGTGTGTAGGCAAATTGTCCCTGAGCTTAGCTTTAATAGAACCCTTCAGTTACGGAGCAAAAAATATAAAATGATAATCGAGTCTGTTAACCTGGATGTGAACTTCCAAACAAAGTTTATAAACGGCGATGAACTGTGCCGTCACTCAGACCTGCGAATGGTTCTCGCTTCTCTTAGACTGATCACATCCCAGAGGGAAGCTGAAAATGAATCATTTCATGACTTCTGCCATTCCATTCAGCCACACTAAAGTGACTTATTACTCCAACAGAATAACCATAGAAATTWTATCTAGCTGTCTAAACCCTCCAGCGCCACATATATAATAACTAAAAGCAAGATTTTTTTCCACACCATTGTAAAACTAAAGAAARGTTGTGAATACATCACTGGATTGTGACAGCGATCACAGATGTTTCAGACGGGGGGGCTGTACCTCTGAAGTTTCCTGGCAGCGTGCTTGCAGGTCTTCCAGCTGTTTCTGAACCTGCCACACTCGGTCTCCCATCTCCTCCTCTCGACTCTGAAATCAAAGAAACAAACAAACAGCGACCAAGTCATTTCCTACGCATCATCTTAACAACACAGCTCAAGCATGTTGGTGGATTTAAAGGGATCTCTGATTCGTTGTAACATTAGACTTTATTTTATAAACATATATTTTAACTGTAAAATAAAGACTGTAAAAATACTGTAGGCTGTTTAGTTTGGAAAATTTTTAAAAATATATTTTAACACGGACAGAGCCATTTTATTTACACGCAAAGCATTCTGGGTAAATGATGACATCAACTAGGTCATCGGTGCGAGGCTGCTAGCGAG